CCTTTGGAGCAGTACGGATTTTGTATTTTCCTTTTCCCTTTTTTTGTTTCTTGTTTTATATGTAATGTGATTTATGACAACATTCTTTTTTGTGGCCGATCACCAAGTCCCTGTCCCTGTCCCTGTCGCTGTGGTTAGCCGCTCTCCCTCTCTCTCTATCTCTCTCTTGTGTTTGCTCATGTATAAGTAATCAAATCCAATTTTCTTAATGGGCTTCAATGCGCGGGCCGATTGCTTTCCCATCTGTTTAGTGAAATTCCACCAGTTTGCCGTTTGCGAGGATTTTGGGCCACATTTTTGTGCTGTTGTGGCATACAAAAACAAATGTTGAAATTTAAAGCGGTGCAAAAAGGGAACGAAGCGGCAAGCCCCAAGAGCTCAGATTTTAATTTCCTGGCCATGTCAATCAATTTGCCAGGACCTTGAACGTGAAATGTCTCTCGCTGTGGTGCTTCTGCATTGGTTGTGTGAATGGGACGAGGGCAGAAGCGTGGGCGAGGCAGGAAGAGCTGCTTGCTGACGAGCACGTGCCAGGACCTGAAAACAGGTAAATGTCAGCGCGATGTGGACTCCTTTATAGACTCCTGCGTGCCCATGCAGTACTCATATTGAGAGACAGCTCCCTTGAGCGTCGAGGCCAAGGGTCATTTGCATTTGGATTCGCTTTTTTTTTATCACAGCTCGTAAATTAATAAAAGCAAAGAAGAACAAGTGAAGCAGCGACACAATCAACGCGCCTGGAATGACGACAATGGCCACATTAAAGAATACAAAGCAAACACACTTAAAAAAGGATACAAAAGGATATACACATGGCAGTGAGTGTATGCAAACACACACGCACAGCTGGCAAATGGTAGTCTTATTTATGTGTATTTCACACACAACATTAGAGTTTACTTTCGCTTTTAGTCGAGCATACCCCCCAGCGGGCAGTGGGTATGTGCCGCAGCAGCAGACAGGTAAAGGGATGGCAACTGGTGTTGCCACAGTTCGTTCATGGTCTGAGGTGGGGTTGGACCCACACGCACGAATTGTCAGTCAAGTGACGGTGAAATGCTTGTCTTTTGCCTCCCATGGCATTGTCCTTTGTGTGTTCACGCACACACACACAAGTGACAATTTGAGATGACAATTTTCGCTCGCTCGCTCGCTCGCGTGTCCTTGCCCAAAGTCTGCATTCAGGCTTCAACCTTGACACCTGTGTGTGTGTGTGTGTGTGTCGGCTGACTGAAGTTTTGTGAGCTTCAATTGGAGCTGCGACAGTCAGATGAAAGTTGTGCAGTTGTAAATGATATTCGTGGGTAAAGTTCTGTGCAGCTGCCGGCTGCAACTTGATTTGGTGCGAGAGATCTCTCTTTAGGCGGTGCGTCGCATAACTCACTTTTACAGGACAACCTGCTGCCGGGGTAGGGGACAATCTTTGCTGCAGTGCCACCTTCAGAGGTAGACAGAAACAACCAAGTTGCCAACGACACTTGGCCAAAGCAATCCCCAGTCCCCAATCCACAATGCACCAATAAAACCAGCCCGTCCAGTCGCCCATTTGTTTCCCGAGAACCGCAGCAATTGTTGCCCTTTTTGCTTGAGTTTCAATCACAGACAAGGCCAAAAGGAAGCCTCACCTGAGGCTGAGGCGACCACCGCAGTCGGCAAAGAGCAGCGAAAAGCGAAATCGAACAAAGAAGGCACAAATCATCGGCAGGAACTGGCGGAGAGAAGTAGAAAGTGAGAAGAAAAAAAGGGCAAAGAGACGGGCATTCTGCTGCATTGCTCGCAACTCAACTTTGCCATTCGCTGGCAATTATTTTGCCCCTGAACCCCGCGGGAATTCGTACTCCTTCCATTTTCTTTGACGTGGCCAAGACAATCATCTCGGCAGAAGTCTCCTCTGCCGCTGTGATTTGTGATGAACAGAACATCGTAGATCGAAGTTAATAAAAGGAAACCTAAATCTACTCTCGATGAGATGATGAACTAAATAACCTTTCGACTCGTCCGGTCCGTCAGCTGATGCTTAAAGCGTTGCAAGTCCATGGCAATTAACGATTGTGTGTGTGGCATGCCACTGGCTGTCAATCAGGGGGCTGGGCAAATGTATTTAAAAGCGTTTAAATAATTGATTTGTCTGGTCACCACACCGCAATCACGACGAGTTAATTAATGTTCAACACGCAACAATCATAACGTATTTAGTATGGACTTAAGGGGAGTAATCGTTTGCCCCTCGGCCCAAACTCTCGTGTCTGTCCACTTGTGGCACGATAAAATGCCTAAATTGTTTAACAATGGGGCGTGACAGCAGGTCAACCGAAAGGCTCAAATTATCCCTTTTGGGGTGAGCTATCAGTGTTTTACCGACTGAAATTCGTTGGCCTTTCGGTCAATCAATTAGATTGATTGCCTCAAATGAGATGTGAGCGCAGTTGGGGGCGCACCTAATTAATTGGTTGCATGTCAACTGGCCAGTAGGAGTAGCAAGAGCGCCACAAAAGTGAGCCACAAAATGTAGAAAATGTTTAACTTTGAGTGTAATTAGGGCACATCCCAGTGGACAGAGTAGATACACAGATTCTACTAGCATTCTGCGCTAAAATGTAACCAAAAAACGAAAACCAAAGTCAAAGCGCTTAAGCCGATTCGGTGGTCAAAAGCAGTCGACTAAAATAAACGAAGTTTCCATCAAAACCAGGCACAAGCAAAGGTGCAAAGGGATGGGAGTGCATCCAGGGAATAGATATAGAGATTGAGTTTACTGAATAACATAACAGCTTGTCATTTATTTTGCGTTTTGATAATTGCATTTTGTTAATGAATTTGCATGGATTTGGCACCGAATTATAATTTAATACATACAAAACACATGCCAAAAGCAGACGTAGATGCAGACACACACAGCATGCGGGAGATTGACTGGCAAAACATGGCATAAGTTATAATAAAGCCAGACAAGGGGGGGAATTAAGTAGTTATAAAATTATGCAAATTCCGCCCTACGTAAGCTGGCTGAAAAGCTTAAGCAAAATTCGTATGGAAATATGGAACTTGAATAGGAACTTGAACACATGTACGGATGGCGCTTGGTCATTTATCAACTCTCTCCCAGCGCTAGTCCTCCATTTAATGTTTCAGACATCAGCATTGGCTTAGCTGAAAAGCAACTTTAAAAGAACAAAAAGAAAAAAGCTCAAATGAAAGCGAAACCAGCAGGTAAAGAATGCGATGATAAGACAACAGCCAGCGGCTATTTACTCAGAGCAAAAATATAACGGAACAACAAAGAAATTCATTGCGTGATGAGTACGGTCCGAAAGCTGCTTAAAGCTTTGTGCATGCAAGTGTCAGGCGGTAGAGCAAAGACAAAGCGAGAGTGAGAGAGTCCGAACGAAGCAGAAGAGAAGCTTTCAGACGCTTTTCGTATATCGCTTGATCTCGCTTGCAGCGAAAATGTTTCTCTTACTTATTCTTGTACTTTTTCTAAATATATAGACATAGGCACTCTCTTTCATGACGATAATTTCTGTTTATCTTACACTTTTACCATATTTTCTGCAAGTGTATGCAAATAGATAACTGTAACTGGTACTCGGGGGGGGTTTGGGTGTTTGGTCAATGGGAAACTGCAGGCATCAGCTTGACGCATTCAGATTTAAGCTTGAAGCTGTGTAAATTTGCATTCATAAAGCACAAGCGGCGGCCAGAAGTTGCCCAAGCCCAACCCGAAGCCCATTTGTATGCAAAGTTCAGCTACGCGTATGAATGGGCCGAGCAGCGGGGGAGGGTGAGCGGAAGGGCGGAAGGGCGGAAGAGTAAGTCGCGGATACGCCTTCCTGTGAGCGTGTGGTGCGTGCAGGTAAATGCTTCAAATTAAGACAATCATTAGAAACAGAAGGGCTGCGCGTGGCGGAAGGGCAGCGGGAAAGGGGGTAAGGGATGGCGGTTCGCCACTTGGCAGGTGGCAAGCAATTAACTTGAATTACGCGTATAATAACTCTGCAGATTCTGCAGGACACAAATCCGCTTAACGACATCCACAAGATGCCCAGCTCATTTCCCAGAAATTTTGCCAAATTAATTCTACCCATTAGGTGTTGATGGAATTTTTTTTGTAGGGCACAAAGGCCAAAGAGTTTAATCAGTTTACCCAGGGAATGCTCCAGGAAGAAGCCAAAGAACGTAGGAAAACAGGTCCAAGAGTGCGGAAATGTGCAGGAGTGAGAATAAAATACAATTTCACACTTCGCCAGGCAACGGGAGGCCAGGGAGGCAGGAGGCTGGTGGCTGGCGGCTGGCGGCTTATGCATGATTTTTCGGCCTCTCCACTTGCCCCACACACGTACGAGTATTGGCGTATCCTCGCCGCTGGCTTCTTGGCCTCATATTAATTAATTGACTTGCGACTCTGTACCCCCACCATTTTTGGCTGACATGAGCATTAACACCCTGAGCCTGTGGCACGTCAATGGAACCCCGTTCTGGCGTGCTGGAATGGAATTAATTTTCACAAAGGATGGTCGTGTTTTTCGGCCTGAAGCTCTCGTGTTGTCTTTTTAAGGCAGCTTTTAAAATTAATTAAATTAAATTAAAAAATGTAAACAGTTGACAAAATGCCAGGACGAATTTGCATGCCTTGTGTGCAGTCGGTCAGCAGACCATGAATGTGCTTACACTCGTAGTTGCATTATTCACTTTTTGTGGCATTTAAAGTGCCATTATTCGAATGGGCACAGATGCACAGAGCATTGAATTGGAATTGCGCTCTTGTAAGCTCAGTTTCCCGTACAATGGGCAACAATTTTGCAGGGATTCTGAATCACGCTGTGCTTTGAATCTCCCCAGCAATAGCCCAAAGGGTATTATTTTTCCATAAGAGAGAAGACAGAGAAAAAATACAAAAATAATAAGCAACATTAAATAAATTCTTGCTCAGAATTTCGATGTTTTATAGAATTTATAATTTATAATCACGGAATTATTTCCATTTTTATGGGAATACTCACCCAGAGGGCGTAAACTGCAAATTCAATTGAAATACAATTATATGAATTTTATCCGACTTATGTGATTATTTATCCTGTGCTTATTAAGTAAGATCTATTATATTGTTACACTAATAAGCTCATTCGGCAGCTACTCGTATCGTCTCTATCGATGATCGGAACTTCACTTTCACTTGCATTTCGTGAGCACCGATCGGTTGTTCGCCAGGATGAATCTCCCTTTAATTGGAAACGGTTCCTTTTCCACACACAACACAGCACAACCACGCCGCGACGCGTTTAAAAACGAACTGCGAATAATTGCCGCCATGCGAACTCGAGCTTCATTCAGCGCCAGATTCGGTGGCGGTGGCGGTGGCGGTGGCGGTGGCGATGGCTCCTCTAAACTCACCACGCCCCGACACGAGCGAGCGAGCTCCTGGCGAACAGTCGGCTCTGTCACGAATCAGCTTCGTGCACACTCGTTCATGTGGGTCTGTGGAGCATCGTGTCAGTGGGTGGAAAGTGAAAGCCGTGTACAACTAACTGCTGCTATTGAGGCAGGTTAGTGTTCTCTCACTCGGCCGTTCGCGCTCTTGCTCTCTCGCGCGGCACTTCCAGCGATGTTTCTGATTAGACTGGAAGCGGCAACGCTTGTTGTGATAAGCCCTTGGCTGTGTGGACAGTAAACTGTTGCGTGCGCTTTCACTGGCTGGTCCTGTTGCAACAATTAGAGGCAGTTGCAACCGTGTCAAAGGGGAAAGTGTCAGCGAATATTTCCTCAAGAATTGATAAATGACAGAAAGTAGTTGAATTCTGTTTCTCATATCTCAAGCACTCAAACCTCTCAACTTTTTGCCAATAAGTTTCTTAAAGTGCCAAAGAACTGCTTTAATGTTGAACATTCTTAGCTGGCAAACATTCGACATTGTACGATGTCTTCCAGGTCCTGCGCAGAACAAATTCGAGCCTGTCAGAGTCCGCCAGCTGTTGAGCAGCGTGCGGCATTCGTGTGGTGAATTTTTCCACACTGATAAGAATCACTGATAAGAATGCATCCACCGGGTGCAGCAGCGGCAGCAGAAGCAACAACAAGAACAAGACTTACGCGTCTCAAAAGAAAAAGAGAACCGTGAAAGAATGTCATCAGCATAGTTTCTAGTTTTCACCCTCTCAGTTTAATGTCGGGCGGGCCATGGGTGTGTCTAATAGGTGAAGGCGACTCTCGAGTGCCAAGCCACAAAATGCGCAACGCTGCAGACACAATTAATGCGCAACGTTTTACAATTAGTGGAACTACCTCAATTATGCAGCTGCAGTCGCATCCCCCAGCCAGCAGTCACCATCTCCGGTGCTTGGGTTGGGGCTGTCCGTCCCAACCAAACCGCTGCCACCCCCACGTGCCTCGACCAGCCTCCGTAGTCGTTTGGGGGGCTGCTTTTAATACGAAATTCATGGCCGCTGTGACCATTTTCTCGCTCCCATTCTCGTTGTTTGTCGGTTGGATAGTTTTTTTTTTTGGCGACAGGGGCAGCCTTTTAATTATGATAATTACATTGTTGTCGTTCTTGCTCGCAGCAGCTGCAGCTGCTGCTACTGCGTTGGGGGTTAGACAAGCAGCGCGTTCCGTACCGTCGATATGCAACTGGCATTTGTGCCATGAACCTGCCGCATGAATAGCGACACTTACAGCAAGGTATATTAGCTATGGCTGCACGGCACACGGCACACGGCACCAATCAGATGGCAAAACGTAGCTCATCAGAGAGGGAACATTCCACAGAAAAAAACTAAGAGAGAGTTAGGGAACATGCATCATGTTATGCCATTTCCGCTGCAAATTGTGGGCATCTGCCGGCACATCCGTTCCATTTTTGAGCCAACTCGTGGGTTAGGACTTAAACCATCCGCATGAAAATATTTCACATAAATATGTGCATGGGTGGATAAAATAAATTGCTGTGAATAGTATAGTATGCATGTGGATGTGGCAGTGTCAACGTGAATGCCACATGCAACAATTAAGACATTGGATTAGGGATGAGGACGCGGAGTCAACCATGAATCACACCATACGCATACTGTGGGTATGTTTTTTCTTAGCCCTGCATTCTGTGTGTGCTGGCCTGCTGCAATTTCAACATGCAACAATTTATGGGGCGCTGTCAGCAATATGGCAACATGTTTTTTTGGTGGCCCGCGTGGACATGCTAATTACATGCACCATCCACACATCACTCTATGATGCGAGGAGGGGGCAGCAGGGCAGCAGGGCAGCAGGTCAGCAGGGCAGAGAGAATATAACGTAACTATGCTTTCGGGCTTGTGTTGCGTTAAAATAATTGCGTCGCAAATGTGACAGTGTGGCAAGTTGCAGTAAAATTGACGGCTAGCCAGCGAGTGAGCCATAAATGTTGTTGCCTACTTTTCAGCGCACATTTTGATGCTGCAAAACCGCTGGCAAAAGCAGCCGCTAAACGAACATTCCGAAGTTGTGTCAGTTTCATTAATTATGAAAAACATCAGCATCAGAAATGAGAAGCTTGAGGGGAGAAGCCTCCCTGAAAACTAGCAAATAATTTCGCATTTCATTTGCATTCGCTCGAATTTGCAACGAGCCATTCGTTGCAGTTGTCACGAATTGTTCGACAACAAAGAGGGAAATAGTTTAAAGAGTTCAAAGAGTATGTGGCTCGACCATTTGCCAGAGGGAATTTTAAATGGAATTCCATCCGCTGGGAATCCACAACCTAACCTGCAGGTGGCACCGGTGATAATTTGTAATGGCTGCCACCACGCAAACCTAATTACATAATTCGAGAAAGGCCAATGGTGTCGACATCTGTACGAGTATATAAAACGAGCCATTACCAAAAAGGGAACCTCAGAAATCAAAGTAAAGGCAATGTCCGAAGAGGCCATCGACAGTTTGAGCTTCGTCAAGAGCCACTGGACAGCATGGCGGATTCTAGGAGTGGCACACAAACGGGTTCAGTCCTTTCTTGGTCTCTACATCAGCTACAGTGTGGTGGTCAATGTGCTGTTCACCGTCGGCTATCCGCTCCACTTGGGCCTGTCCCTCTTTCAAAACCGCAATCTCACCGAGGACATCCTCAACCTGACGACCTTTGCGACGTGCTTTGCCTGCTCCGCCAAGACTCTTCTCTACGCCTACAACATTGGCAAGGTGGCTCGGATGGAGCAGCTCCTGCGGCTGCTGGATAAGCGAGCGAGTGGCATGGAGCAGCGGGCCATCTACGGCCAATTGAAGCTGCAACTTCGCACCATCCTCTACGCCTTTATTGCCATCTACATGCTTTGCGGTCTCTTTGCCGAGCTCTCGTTTATCTCTAAGGAAGAGCGCGGCCTCATGTACCCCGCCTACTTCCCATTCGACTGGTTAAATTCCACGAGGAACTACTACATAGCCAACGTGTATCAAATTGTGGGGGTGTCCTTTCAACTCGTTCAAAACTATGCCAATGACTGTTTTCCGGCCGTTGTGCTCTGCCTAATCTCGTCACACGTGAAGATGCTCTACTCACGCTTTGAGACAATTGGTAGGGATCCTACCATTGATGCTGAGAAGCAGCTGGAAGACTGCATCACCGATCACAAGCGCTTGCTCGAGTAGGTACCACCGATCTCTTTGTACCACCACTGACTTACCTTTCTTTTACAGACTCTTTAGATGTATTGAGGGATTTATGTCACTGCCAATGTTCATTCAATTCACGATCGCCGCTCTAAATGTTTGCATCAGTGTCGCCGCTCTTGTGTTCTTCGTCAACGAACCCATGGCCCGCATATATCTGCTCTTCTATGGCCTTGCCATGCCGCTCGAGATTTTTCCCTCCTGCTACTATGGCACCGACAATGAGTACTGGTTTGGACGCCTCCACTATGCCGCCTTCAGCTGCAACTGGCCCGTGCAAGGACGCAGCTTCAAGCGGAAGATGATGCTCTTTGTGGAGCGCTCGCTGAAGCGGAGCACAGCGATTGCCGGTGGCATGCTTCGAGTACATGTGGACTCATTCTTCGCGACCCTTAAGATGGCCTACTCCCTGTTCACGATTATAATTCGAATGAGAAAGTAGGTCAATAATACCACTGCCGTAAAATTGTTTTGAAATTCTTATTGAATGCACATTTAAAATCGATTAAAAGTCCACAATGTCATATTATTTGGTGATTGAGATGTAAGGACAGCTGGTAGCTGCTAAGCCAGCACTTTATAAGAAAGAAACCGCAGGATGAACTCATTCTGAAAAAGTGTTTGTTCATCGACAGTATCTTTGAATAAGTTGCTCGAACGCCTCTACTATGCAGTCTTCAGCTGCAAGCAGTGCTGCAAGCAGTGCAGCTGCAAGCAGAGCAGCAGCGAGCACTGCTAAACCATTTCTGGGGATTTGTTACCCTTAAACGTAGAATTTGTAATACTATTAGAATGCTGAGAAGAGGGCAATGGGTACAGAAGTTATTGTTAGCCATTTGTCACAGCTAATTCTAGGTGGTAATTGGTCTCTGGGAAGGCAAAACTTAAGCGGCAGGTGGCACCGGTCATAATTTTTCATTTCGGGCACCGCGCCTCATTGCATAACTAAAGAAAGGCAAAGACAATGGGGAAAATCTGTATATAAGAGCGAAATCAGAAAGGAAGCCTTAGTACTCAAAAAGAAAGCCATGCCGGAGGAAGCCATCGACAGCTTGAGCTTCATCAAGAGCCACTGGACAGCATGGTGGCTGCTCGGAGTGGCCCACCAGCGCCTGCAGTCCTGGCGTAGTTTCTACCTCTGTTGGGGCTGTCACTTTTCAGCAGCCGCAATCTCACCGAGGACATCCTCAACCTGACGACCTTTGCGACGTGCTTTGCCTGCTCCGCCAAGACTCTTCTGTGGCTAGAATGGAGCAGCTCCTGCGGATGCTGGATGAGCGAGCGAGTGGCATGGAGCAGCGGGCCATCTACGGCCAAGTCAAGCTGAAACTGCGCACCATCCTGCATGTCTTTATTGGCATCTACATGCCGTTAGCTCTGTGCGCCAAGCTCTCGTTTATCTCTAAGGAGGAGCGCGGCCTCATGTCCCCCGCCTACTTACCATTCGACTGGCTACACTCCACGAGAAACTACTACATTGCAACGTCTATCAGATTGTGGGAATATCCTTTCAACTCATACAAAATGATATCAATGACCGGCCGTTGTGCTCTGCCTAATCTCGTCACACGTGAAGATGCTCTACTCTCGCTTTGAGGACATTAGCAGGGATCCATCTATTGATGCGGAGAAGCAGCTGGAAGACTGCAT